AACAGTGACAGATTTAAATTCGAGATGATCTACACCGTTAATTCTGTCGGTGCGATCAGGGCCGTTTGTTTCCCCTGCTACTAGGAGACAACACTTCTGACCCATGAACAGTGACAGATTTAAATTCGAGCTGATCTACACTGTTGATTCTGTCGGTGCGATCAGGGCCGTTCGTTTCCCCTGCTACTACGAGACAACAATTCTGACCCATGAACAGTGACGGATTTAAATTCGAGATGATCTACACTGTTGATTCTATCGGTGCGATCAGGGCCGTTACTTTAACCTACTTTATGCTTTTCATTTTCAATTGTTAATTTTCATTGTAAGGAAAATATTATGACATTTCTTAATCACACATGTAAATATTATTCATACTTCAACACTTCAGTACTACATCCAAATTAAGACAATACTTTTAAACTTCAACAAACACTTAACTATTGTTTAACAACAACGACAACAATAACATGAAGTTAACAAAGAAAACACTGCCTATTTACAAAATAAACAACGATACAAACAAGAGAACATTCATTGTTAACGTATACGGTAACCTACATGAAGTTTAGTTGTCTTTCAAATGAATTGACCATGTTCCACATCTGCAATTATTGAGGCTCCAGATCTTCAAAAGTAACAAACAAATTCAGTAGTAATTCATTCGGGTCTTCTGCAAATTTGTGAAATATGAATGTCACATCTTCATCACATGTTAAAGGATATGGAGTATATTCCTTTCCTCCATCTTCGTATTTAACTGGACAACGATAATGAACTTGACTTATGCGTTTGCTATCCCCTTTGATCAACCTCCTATGTACCTCATTCAACAAATCAACAAGTGTCATGTCTTCGTTAAGTTTGATAACTCTCCCACTAGATGACATTTGTATGGCATAATCAAGATCGTACTGAGTTTCAAATATCTGAACATTTTGAAACACAAGAGCAAACACTATTGCTGAACCCATTCTTCGAAATCACTACTACAATATTTCTATCTTAAGTTGAAGAGAAAGTGTCTGAACATAAAACACACACACACACACACTTATATTTATAGGCAGATGGACCCTAATTAAAATAATAAAATAATATGAAGTGCATAATTTAACAATTTTTTTATCATTACAAAATTAAAAAACAACAACAAACAAATACATATAACTAAAGTGCATAATTTTACGAATATTTAATAATAATATTATCCAAATTTAAATATTACAATCCACAATAAAATTTACATTACAACCATCCGAATTAACAATAAACCTAAAACTAAATTACAAATATTTTTTCTCATCAAATCAGATATCCTTCGGAATAACCTGCAAAAAATGTAACATACATTTGTTAAACAATATTACTTACAAATAAATTATATTTAACTAACACTACTCACCCGTTTTACATTATTTTTAGTTATATTAAGCAAGTAAGGACCACGGAAACGCCTGGGGGCAAACATGACAACCTGAAGAAAAAAAAAAACAAATTCAATTCAACACATAAATAACATATAATTTAATTTTATACAACAAATTTTACCTGTTTCAGAATTAACACACACCCCACAACAATGTCTTTCCCATATTGTCGGTGTTGCTTAACTTTGTAATGTAAGTTTGCACCAATCGCTGCAGTTGGGTCCTGAAATAAATATTTACAATTAATTACAAAACAATTTCTTTTAATGTATAACAAATTCACTAACCATACCTTTAAATTAATAGTATAATTTCCCTGTCCAGTTGGGGTCATAGACTCCACAAAAGCAACAACTGTTGGGACTCTTTGTAAATTGTGGTCGATATTAATCAATGTTGTCACTTCAGGTAGACCTATTGTTAAAAAAATACAAATTATAGTTAACATTATTTGCATCATTAAATTTACACACATGAAACTTAATATGCTAAACAAACCTCTAGATTTCACATAATGCATAGCATAGCGCCACGGGTTAGAGTTGAACACCAACATCGCAGGTCCGTTAAGATCAGCCAAAAACTGTTGTGTTGGCAAGGGATTTTCAGATTCCCTGTTCCTCATTGTAGCTTGGACCAAACCAGCTGGTCCAGGAATAACACGGCCAATGTCACATGTACTAGATGTCTCTTCGTCATCATCCCCAAGTTTTGGTGTAGGGGGTGACAACGGAGACAATGGCTCCTGTTCTCAAGCTTCTTCAGCCTGTCTAGCTGCCATTGCACTTCTCATTGACGCCAAAAATTGTTCATCTGTCCATACTTCATTTGATGGAACAATGTCTACTTCTTCGTCACTATCAGGTACATAATCAATACCTCTACGAGACATTCCTGATAAAATTCAAATCAAAATAAATATTTCATTAACATTGTGTCTCAAATTTTAAAATTTCAAATATTCAGTATAATATCAGAATTTTTAACATTGCAATAAATACATATATTCAATTATAAAAATCAAATTATATAACTTTTTCATTTAAACAAATATTAATTGGGGCACTGGAACGACCCGTTCTAATTTCAGAACGGGTCGTTCTCATTGCAACAAAGGTATCTGATTTATGAACCCAGAACGGCCCGTTCTCAGAGAGCTCATCAGAGGTTAATTTTTGTTCCGGAACGGCCTGTTCTAAAAGGAGAACGGGCCGTTCCAAAGCATAAATTAACAACCTTTCTTTGAATACCGGAACGGCCCGTTCTGAATACGTGCTTTTTCAGAACGGCCCGTTCCACGTTTATAACTTACGTCTTCAACTTCATATTTAAAAAAAAATTTAAATTTAAATTTTTACACCACTCTACTTTACAAAATCAACAACGATACAAACATACAACATATTATAAAAATTAAAATTTAAAACTACAAAAAATTAAATATATTACTTACTTGCGCACTATCCTGGACTACCAAATAAAAAATCAGCTGGACCACACACCGAACAAATGAATTTTGTGCAATCCAATAACACATTCTACATTTAACTAATTTGAATTTGATAGCGCCTGGGACTGAGGCGTTTTGCAAACAACGAGTACGCACCAAGTTGCCAGCTGGGGGAGGTGGTATCTTGAAAACGCCTCAACCCCAGGCTCCTTCAGTGAAGGACTGCCAAGTGTACAAGGCGCCCAGGGGGGCGTTTTCTCCTCACACCTGCCAAGTGTACAAGGCGCCCAGGGGGGGTGTTTTCTCCTCACACCTGCCAAGTGTACAAGGCGCCTCCCCCCATGCGTTTTTAGTTTAAACGTACCCCTGCCACATCACCAAAAAAAGGTGCCTTAGGGGGGGGGGAGGAGTTTTCTAAAAAACGCCCACCCCCAGGCGTTTTCATTGGCACATTGGCGCCTACCTGTCGAAAACTACCTATTTGGGTAAATAGTTATTTTTTTAATTTATTTCGTGTATTTTTATTTTTTTTATTTACTCAGGTCAAAAAGCCGATATAACACGTAACAACGAGTATTTTTTTTAACATATATAATACACATATTAAATATTTATTATATAATTAAACTTATAAGAATTATATTTATAAATAAATATTATATTTAAATATATAAATTATGTTTAAAATTTATATAAATAAATATTTTTAAATATATAAATTATTTTAGATATATGATAAATTATCAACTCTTATATATAAAACACAGATAATTATCTTGCATAATATCGTTTTTAGAGACTTTTCTTTGATGAGAAATTTTTTAGAGATTTTTTTTACTTATATCCAATTCATTTTTATTCATTATAGTTATTGATGAATTCAATCTTAATAATTTTTAAAAAATTATCAAAAAATAAAAATAATCTTATACTACAATATGAATTACTTGTTATAAATTTAAATCAATCAACACAATCACGAAAGTTGTACAATTCATGTAAGGATTCAATAGTTCATTCAACAACAAAATTTCAAGAGTATCCTTTACCTAAAAATTAACCAAAAAAAGATGAAGAAATAAGAAAATAGAATTTTTCAACCAACTCCATGCAGTCACCACAACCAACCTTTATCGACTTTAAAACTTTGAATCATCAACCAGCCACATAATCTACTTTTAAAGGAAGAATGAAAGAGAATCTACGAAATTGAAAGAAAAAACACTTTTCCCCAGCTCTACAATTTCTCTCTACAACTTCTAAAGAAATAAACTTATATAATTCACTTTTTAATAAAAACTTTATATACATTTTCCTAATTAATTAATTTGACCTCAGTTCAAAACAACTTCACAAACAATAAAACTAATTAAAATTCTTAAATTTTTAGAATTTCACAATAATTAAACAACTAATTACAATATTAATTAAATTAATAAAATTCATCATTACTAATAAAAGTCACAGTGTTACAACAAGAATGTGAATCACTTTCATTCCGTATTTTTTAATAACAATCTTTTAAGAAATAGAAAATAATTACTTACTTATTTACTATATTAAAAAAAGTTTCATTGACACATATCATTTCATCTTGCCTTTATTTTCTCTCCGAAAGTATTTTCAGACGTTATTTTTAATATATTAATAATAATATATTGTATTATAACTAAAATTTATGATAAATATATAATTTATATTTTAAATTTATAATAAATAATCTACATTATAATACAAATTATTTAACTATTGATAATCTTTTTCAAAATGTAAAAAAAATTATTTTTCAAAAAAAAAAATATTAAAGAGATAAAATATTAAAATAAATATAAAATGATATTAAAAAGATAACAGATTCAAAAATATCAAAATAAATATAAAAATGATGCATACGGATAATATTTAAAATTTGAAGATAAGACATATATTTAATTTTGATAATCAGTTACTACTTATTAAATGATAAATTATTCAATCATTTGATATAAAATTATAAAAATGAATTTAACTCCCTTAGATAAATATTTTAAATGAGAATGAAGAGAGAGAGTGAAAAGATTTATATAATAAAAAACACGAAATACATATAAAGCATCGAAAAACATGAAATAGCCATGGGCGGTTGGTTGCAAGTGCCACTGGCTCAGTCAAACACTTCGTTCTACTCGTGTCGTGAGTTCTTCATCTCCAAATCTACATCACACACACACTCACCTCACTCTTAGTTCTTCCACCATTATCTTCTTCTCGCGTCCACCTACTCAGGTTCTTTCTCCCATAATATTTTCTTTTTCTCTCTACACGTAACCATATAAACCATGCTTCTTCTTATGGCTTAAATTGCTCAATTCATTGCGTGATAACGGCTATAATTTGGATTTATTGATAAAAACATATTTTGGATCAAGTTTGTTTATTTTTTTCCCCCAATTTTTGGCCCTTTTTCAAATAAGTATGCACTTGTTCTGGGTTTGTTCAATTGGATAATCTCATTCACGTTAAAGTTGCATTCTCGGTTGTTAGCTACTAATCGTATTTTCTCTTATGCAATTTGGCCTAATTTGTGAATCCCTCTGAGTCTTTTTTTTTTTTTTTTTGCGTTGATCAATGAATAAGTATTTGCCATTCCAATTTTCTGTGTGGTAGCTGTTTGTATTATGCACGGCGTTGACTATTTGGTAATTGCACCGTAGAGCTTGTTTAAGATGAGTAAGAGGCGTGAAACTGCTCCAGCTGCATCTAAAGGGTCAAGCGATGGCGAAGCAAGTGAAAAATCTAGTAATGGTGCTGAAATGCGCACCACTGTTCAAGTTGGAAACCCAAGGAGGTCTTCATTCGTGTGGCTGGCCTTGTTGCTGATTATCACTTATTCATGTTCATCAGTTTATCATCACCAGTTTCAGAGATTGCCTGTGCCTCTTTCAGCAGGAGAGGCTGGCAAGAGGGGCTTTTCGGAGATTGAAGCATTCCAGCATGTCAAAGCTTTGACTGAAATAGGGCCTCATCCAGTTGGTTCTGATGCTCTGCTTCATGCTGTGCAGGTTGGCTCCTCATCTTTGTTAATCCTTTTTTTCTCTGCTTACCAAAAAGTTAAATCTTTGTTAATCTTTTCCCCCATGGTTGTTCTTACTTTTTGTCGATTCCATGGATCAAGTAAATCAAGATTATGATGTTGGGGAGTTCATGAAATTTCTTCCAGAGGAAATAGATAAGAGGAAATGTGGCAATCAATTCATTGTTTAGGGATGTCAATGAGGTGGGACTAGTGTGGGCAGTACTTTCCCCATATCTGTCCTCATTTATATCAGCAGGTATCCATTAGATATGGAATATCTATGATATATGCAAGTATTTCCGAATTTAGAAATCTTACAAAAGCTAAGCTAATTAACATCATATAATATTATATAACATCATATTATGTTAACATCATATAATGTCATTATTTGCTTATTAACTGATAGAAAAATCATCTTATAATTATATATAATATTTAAAAGAAAAATAAATTTTATAAGTAAACTGGTATGTTGAGGGCTGGTATTAATACCTGTACCAACCCACTGGGCATCCATTGCCCGCCCCGTCACTGGTATTCTGTGTTGATTCCCACGGATTTGGGTATTTTAGCCATGCTTTATTCCTCGCTGGGTATGTTATTATGCTATAATTAAGTTGTCTAAAAAATGACTGTAGACGAGCTTATGTTCTGGATGTAAACATCCTTTGTGTGAATTTTTTAGTTCATAATGATAGTTTTTTACATGTGTGTTTCTTTTATTATTATTAATGGGGTAGTTCATAAGGAAAAAAAAAGGAGTAACAACAACCTATACAACTGTTTGTGGTCATTTATGACTCCTTTTTCTGTTAATTGTACATTTTTTTGACAAGCTTCCAATTGCAGTATGTTTTGACAGCAAGTCAAACCATTAAGAAAACAGCTCACTGGGAGGTAGATGTTGAAGTGGATCTTTTTCATGCAAAGTCTGGTGCAAATCGTCTGAGCACTGGCTTATTTGCAGGGAAAACAAACGTTTATTCAGATCTAAGTCATGTTGTAGTAAGAATTGTGCCAAAATATGTACCTGAAGCAAGAGATCAATCTATTCTGGTCTCTTCTCATATTGATACTGTTTTTGCAACGTATGTTTTCTTCATCTTTTTGCTCTTATACTTCTGTTTTCATCAATCATTGTTTTTCTTTGTTCTTAAAATGATGTTTACATTTTACTGGGAGTCTGGGATGCATTTATCATTGTGACCCAATTTGGTAACATAAATATGTTGTGCATGGGGGTTTGTGTGTTTGTAATTTATGTTTGGTATGCAGGAGGGGTTGGGGGGGGGGTAGATTTCATTGTGGGCAGTGTTGTTGGAGCCCTGATTTTCAAGGAGAAATGATAAAAATATACCAATCTTGTGTGTTAGCGTGTTTGAAATGTCTTCACATTAGTTGCAAAGGGACATACAGTTCTTTGACCAGTAAGAGAAGGATAATGTCACTAATGTATTACTTCCTGCTGTAACATTTGACTTTAAACTAATGCTCAGGAGGGAAATTGGAACAATGATGTTGCTAAGATAACAGTACTCTTAAGTATTTACTATATATATATATATATATGTGGGTACCACAATTTAGGGTGGAGAAAAGCACTATCTTCTTCTTCTTATTATTTATGAGATCATTGCACCTATTATGAATTTTAAAATGTTCCTATTAATTAGTCAGCAGTGAACATGTAACTTGCATCACTGCTAGACACGTTACAACACATGTAAAAATTTAGGTTTAATAGAATGGATCATTTTAAAGCTTTTTGCTTTTACATATAATAAACCATACTGGGGCAAGAGAGAGAACATGAAGGAAAATGAGAGGAAGAGAAAGTTCAGAATTCTAAATAATTGAATCTTTTATTGATTAATGAACTCAGCACTGAGTTCTTATATTTATACATAGAGTTATCTGTTACTGCAGTTATTGATCCTAACTGATATAGTTAAGGCACAACTAATATAGCTAACAACCAAGCTGTCAGTAGAGCTGGCAGACTAACAGAGTACAGGGCTGATAAAACTTATACAATCATCTCTAGCAATACATTTTCATTATGAATTAGTAGGAAATATTTACAATCTCAAGATTTTCCATTAAAGATCAGTTTGCTAAATTTTTTCATCAGGCTTATGTTACTCGGTTCTCTGGTTTTGGATTTACATGCATTAAAGACTGAGATTTTGGTTAATTGCTAGGGTGAAAAAGCACTAACCAGGGTATATATTTATATACATTTCAGAGTTAATTACATTTAAGATCAGTAACTATAAATGCAATTCCCTAAATACATAAGATAAGCACTATGCATGAATCTTAACATTCATGTATGCTAGACTTTAAATGCAGCAAGTTCCAATGCCTAAACCTGTTTCCAGCACAACTATAGTGACTGCTCTAAAAGTTTTTTACTTTTGCAATTTGCAAATTTTAATTTTAGCAATTAGTTAAAACCATTGTATCATACGCTGCTAAACATATAACATTGATTTAACAGAGGAGGGGCTGGAGATTGTAGTTCATGTGTAGGCGTTATGTTGGAACTTGCTCGTGGAATTTCTCAGTCAGCTCATGGATTGAGGAGAGCTGTTATATTCTTATTTAATACAGGTGAGGAGGAGGGTCTTGATGGTGCTCATAGCTTCATAACCCAGGTATGGAATTACTTTTTAATGCAACCTTATATTAAGTACTTCTCTTATTTTCTTCTCAGCTGGTTTGAAAACATGGTTTTTAGGTTTACGGATAATAAAACTGATGTTGGGATTAGAAGAAATCTAAATTATAAAGATTTATGGGTTAAATCTATACTATTAATAAAGAGGATGGTCCCTTTTGGTGTACACAATTTTTTGACTAATTTACCCCATAACTATTTCTAAACTACTTTCTCTTACCGTATTATTTATTTATTTATTTATTCTTTTTTTTTTCTACTTCAACAACATCAAGTTTTCAAATTTTCCACCCTTTAAGTAACTATTCATTCTCTCTCTCTCTCTCTCACTCTCTTTTAAATAGAGAGACATGAAGTGTCTTTTTCTTTTTCCTAGTCTATTAGAAAGAAGTTAATGAACTGTATCTCATTTTTCAATTGATTCCTTCCATTATTTTGTTTTCTAGTCTATGACAATAATTTTAAAATATATTTTTTTTGATAGAATATATTTTCATAAAAATTAAAAACATTAGTCACTTTTTAATACCATTTAAAATGGTGCGTGTAACAATAATATCTTTAAAATTTTTCTGGTTATTAGGGTTTCTTCTTCCCGCTAATGTTATCATATTAAAATTCCAATGAAAAAATTAGACATTAAGTTTATCGAAAAATCATCACTATCCTTGTAAAACATTCCAAAATTTATTTTCAAATGAAGCAAGCATCTTTAATATGAAAGTTCTTTCAAAAAGGTTTTAAAAAGCCTGCAAAACTTGACTTATCATTTTCACTTATAAGTAATACAATTAAAATAAACAAGAAGTGAAATAGAATACAAAACGTTTTGCCATGTCTATTTGTCTATCAGAGAATATGGTTCATCTTTTAATATCAGATTGCATGTTTTGGTGTTTGAATTCTCTGTTTTAGTAGTATGGCAATTTTCTTACAAGCATAACCAAATCTACAACTAGATATCATTTTTGTGTTGTTTTGATAACATTTTTTAACCACTGTTGGGAAGATCAGTTCCTGGTGGGTTTATCGTGGCTGGATTGCAAAGTTATTGATGTTATGAATTTGCTCACTCATGCATAGATCACAAACTATCAATACAAAAATTTAGAAGCTGAGTGTTTGAGCATAAAAAATGCAATTTTATGATACATTTTTCTTTGAATTTCCTCCTGAAACTACTATTTTTAGCTTTTGGAAAAGCGCTAAAGCAACTTTTTTGAGGTTTGTGTTGTTTCTTGCTTACATAATTATTATAAATATTTCAAACAGATCTTTTAATTGAAAAAGCATAAAACAAACATGCCCTTTAATATTGTATAAGGTTTAAAGATAGCAATGACATGTGCAATCTATGCTTTCATTTGGTTCATGGCATTGGAGCACACCTCTTGTATTTTGGATTTAGAATTCTATTTGGTGTGCACATGGTCTGTTAAGGGGGTTTCTGTAACATATATGCAGAGAAATCAGGTAGCTTTGCATCATTGAGGTTCTCTATTTTCTCTGTGCTTCTTGTTTTCCTTTTATGTTAAGTAGGATCCCTCATCCTCCAATTTCCTTTTAATATTGTTCTCTCCATCTTAAGGAATTTCTTTATTTATCCAAAAAAAAAGTTATAGGCTAAATCTTTTGGTGCATGCTTAGATAAAATGTGACTGATTGTAGTTGTTGATCTACTACATTTTTTTTTTGGAATTTGGATTTACTACATTAAAGGATAGATTCTAACAAAAGTTTGTACTTTCTACATAGTGATACCTGAAATGTGTTATTTTTTTAATTCTTTCTTCATAATCTGTAAACATTAGAAGTTCTCTCAATCAGTTACAAATGTTATATCAAACCCTTGTTACCAATAAAAGAAATTTTGAATGCAGCATCCTTGGAGCAAAACTATTCGTATGGCTATTGATCTGGAAGCCATGGGTGTTGGAGGGAAGTCTAGTATTTTTCAGGTTTGTTTATTGATCACTATGGTTTTTTGGTGGAAAATTTAAGGCTTGTTTACTTTGGGAAAATATTTTGTTTTAATTTCTTGTTTTTACTTTAAATTATAAAAAATCACCTTATTTTTCATTTTGTTTCTATTTTCAAAGATTTGTATGAGAAACTATTGGAGAGAGGATTTGAGAAAATAGTGTTTCTAAAAGATATCAGTTGTGCAATGCTTAGCTTCTGCTTACATTTGCATATTTATAGTGCAAATTGCACAAGCTTGAAAACCCTAAAAGATGGCAGCTGTCACAATTATAACTGTCTTGCAACTTATTAGCAGAATTACAGATAAGCGACAGCTGGCAGAAACTGGAAAAATAGCTAGCCTATACAAAAACGGTAGTCTCTCATCCCCCCACAAGCTCAAGGGGAATGAGAAATCTACTCAGACTTAGACACATTGAGCTTGGTCCGAAGCTGAAACTAAGCATAGGACAGAGGTTTAGTTATAATATCAGCCCATTGATCTTGAGTTGGGACATGACCATAGAGCTTATCAAGGATTTTTTCACTAACGAAAAACAGATCAGTCTATTTTATTTAACAGTCTCAATAGAGTGAGAAGTGAAAGATGCTTTATCAACAGATCAGTCTATTTTTTCACTCGCCCAGATGTTCAATCACAAACAGACCCTATATCACATATTGGCCCATTTTTGCATGGCAAAGCATCTTCCATTTCCACTCTATTGAGAGGTCCAAGATAGTACTCCAATTATGTAGAAGGGACAAATCCTATCTACATTACTCACATCTCTCAACTTGATTTATTATGTCTAATAATTACTTATATAATCATAACGTTTGCTAGCACTAAAGCCTATAACTCCTACATGCAGGAATTATAGTAATTTACGCAACAATCTCAATATATTATTATCATCTTAGTCAATAGTAATTCTAGATTATGAATACTTTAAAAATAATATTTTATTATTCAATGAAATTTCACAATCAAGTTAGACTTGCTATATCATTGAATGAATTGCTTATTCTAAGGACATCATTATTATGCTATATAAATAATAACAGAATAACTGAAATATTTTATATATAAATCAAAGTCATGATATGAATGTAGTCCAAAATTGATTGGTCACTAGGGCTCACTTCAACAGGTTACTCATATTTTACATTCAATCTTGATTTTCTTTTAGCTCTAAAAGGCAAGGATAAGTGTGCATTCCACATTAAAAGTTATTATTCAATCTTCGTTTGGAGACTAAAAAAACATTATTCAGTTATTTGATATCCAAATCTTATTCTTTCTAGAGTTTGCTAATTATAATAATAAGTGTCTCTTGCTAATGGCTCTGTGTTTAGTAGGCTGGTCCTCATCCTTGGGCTATTGAGAACTTTGCTTTAGTAGCAAAATATCCATCTGGTCAAATAATTTCGCAGGTTTGTAGTTTTCATTCATTTTACTTTTGTTCTTCACCAATTTTAGATATATTTTAGTAGATTATTTTTTTTTAAATCACTCAAATAAACTGATATTTATGATCCAGGATCTGTTTTCTTCTGGGTTCATAAAGTCTGCAACAGATTTCCAAGTGTACAAAGAGGTTGCTGGCCTTTCTGGGCTTGATTTTGCATATATGGATAAGACTACTGTATATCATACCAAGGTTTCTTTCTGTCCTTACTCTTTTGTTAACTAGTTGGATTGCTTTTTGTTCTGCATTTTATTGCCAAACATGAATTTCATATTGTGTTGGTTGAAAGAATGAGACTTAACAAAGCAACTCTTCATTCTTCAACAGAGCTCTCTATACAATAACAAGTTTGTTACTGTGGTTTGACTGGATTTGTAGCTATTAAGCCAGTATTGTCAAATCTGAACCTACTTTTCTTTGCTGACAAGTTTAGTTTCAGCCCTAGCTTTTATTTTTATTTTTATTATTACTATTATTTATTTACTGGATTTCAGATACTTTGGATTTCATAGCAATAACATACATTAGAAAATAGTACCATCTTATCTGGTTAAGATGTTTTTTCTAGTACTAAATTGTGCGCTACAAATGGTGTTTTGGTGCATTAGAAGGTGAAGGCATAATGGGAATCCATTTCAGCTGCTGCTTGGCAGAGTTGATTTAAATGATTGATAAGGGCTTTTTTTGACAAGATAATACATAGGTGCTCTACTTTTATTGGGCAGTATTTGCAGGGTTTTCTTTGAACCATTTCTTTAGTGCGAATTGTGTTTTCCGTGCAATCGATTAGTAAGTTTGTGGAAATTATGCTTGTGCTTGAGTAAATCATTGGAGAAATATGCAAATGTTAACTTTGATTTCTAGTTATAGAGAAAAATAAGAAAAGCTTACCCCTTGATAAGAGAAGGTATATTATTTCTTCTTGTTGGTTAAGTTATTACAAATAATATTTACTGAAATAGTTTGAATTAATATGATTTTATAGCTATACTGATTGTTGGCTGCAATATTGAATGACATAAAGTGGTGGTGGAAGTGAAAAGATATGGTGGGGAAAATAAAGATTTTATTAAAATATTATCATATCCAATGACTAATAATGATATACTTTTCCTTGTGCAGAATGACAAATTAGAGTTTCTGAAGAATGGATCTATTCAACATCTGGGGGAAAATATGCTTGCTTTCCTGCTTCATACTGGGGCATCTTCATATTTTCCAGAAGGAAATTCAACAGAAGCAGAGGAAGATACGAGCAAAAACAATGCCATATATTTTGACATTTTGGTAATTAATTGCTGTAAACTTGTCTTCTTGGTTATAAAAAATATGCCCATTCTATACCTTATTGTGTACATAATTCATTGTTTTCCATATAACATGGTGGTTGTAGCTTGCTATGCAACCGTCATATTATTAGGCTCTGATCTATGGTAACTTTTCGGATTTTTTCAGGGAACATATATGGTTGTTTACCGTCAAAAGTTTGCTAAAATGCTCCACAATTCAGTGATATTGCAGTCACTTCTAATATGGGCTACATCGTTGGTTATGGGTGGTATACCGGCTGTAGCTTCATTTGCCTTGTCATGTTTGAGTATTCTTCTCATGTGGGTCATGGCCTTAAGTTTCTCCTTCCTTGTTGCATTTCTCCTACCTTTGATATCTTCATCACCAATGCCATATGTTTCAAGCCCGTGGTTGGTGGTTGGATTATTTGGTGCACCAGCTTTTCTCGGATCATTGACTGGTCAACATTTGGGTTTTCTTCTGCTTCAAAAATATCTATTGAATTCTCATTCAAATAGAAGGCAATTTCCCCCCATTATTAAAGCTGCTGTTGTCAAGCTAGAGGCTGAAAGGTGGCTCTATAAAGCTGGATCCTTTCAATGGCTTATACTTCTCATTTTGGGAAACTATTTTAAAATTGGCTCTTCTTACTTGGCTCTTGTTTGGTTAGTTTCTCCGGCATTTGCATGTAACTATCACTACCTAATCTTTGGCTTTATTAGAACAACTTTTATTTCCTTTTACTAAAATTTGGTTGAAATATCCAGATGGTTTTTTTGAAGCAACACTAACCTCAGCCAGGTTACCAAAGCCACTCAAATTGGCAACCCTACTTATAGGGTTAGCCACTCCGATTTTAATTTCCTCTGGCGTATTTATTCGGCTTGTTGCTACAATCATAGGGACTATGGTTCGATTTGACAGGTACATCTTTTTCCCCCTAATCAGTATACGTGGACTGACCTGTAAATGAGCCATGTATATATTGCTTAGAACTTTGCTGATGATGCTTATTTTCTTTTTCTGTGTTTGGTGTGTTACTGCCTATTTTAGTTTTACATAATTGTGTTCTTCAATAGTCTGCTGCAGCCAACTTCAGTGAAAAGATCCTGAAGGATCTACAAATGTTTAACCTTTTAATGGGCTGTAGCCTATATGATACATATAGAAGCCAGAAGTTACAATGAAATTTCTGTATTCACTTCTTTTTAGTCATTTTTCAGTTATGTTGTAGGCCATTCTTGTGCAAACTATATAGCATTTATTGTTACAAACTAAATTTCCTTAATAAAAATAATTGAACTATAAAAAGAGAAATCAGGTAATCTTCCATGAATGCCAAAAAGAAGTCCAATAAGAATTGTTAGATTGTTATATCCGAGCATGAACTGTACTATCTATCATTATCTGTTTCTGTTATTGTTTTTGTCTGTTGACTTTTTCATCATATCATGTATGAAACTTCTTTGGTGGCTATGTTCATTTTTCCAGGCATCTTTCATCATTGTATTCATCCCTTTGTTTTTTGTGTCCTCTATTCTTTATCCATTTTTCCCTCTAGTCCTCCTGCAGCCCCCTTTCTCCAATTGCTTCCAGGATTAGGGACTTGCCTTTTATTTCATGATCAAAGCGTAAGAACTAAGGAGAGAGAAATCTTTGTCATCCAGTCTTGTTTATGATAAACTTCCTGTTACAGCTGCTTATACCATTCTGCCCTGTTACCATGACGTTACTATATATCACCAATCACCATTGCCATTATTACTATCTTCCTCTGCATCCACTATCTTGTCACCTTTATTCAGATGCATTCACCATGTTCATCACTTCATTATTGTTGCCATTGTCTTTAGATTCACTACCACTATTTTCACCCTCCATTTTTGTCACAGGCCAATTTTCACTTTTACCACAGTTGGCATCTAAGTTACTTTCCTCTACTGTGCAGGAATCCTGGTGGTACTCCTGAATGGCTGGGAAATTTTGTGATTGCTGCTTTTATTGCTGTTCTTTTGTCTTTGACCTTGGTGTACATTCTTTCATATATCCATCTTTCAGGTTTGTTTGCTCTTTTGCGAGCAACATTGAAATATTATTATTTATGATAATGAGATGCTGATCGCTTAGTTTTAGTGAGGATGCCAATTCTCAAAGAATTATCCTGTCATGTGACATGCTGTTTGAACCTCAGAACTTTGACTTGTGCTGTGACCTTTTTACTTTGGTCTGTTTTTTGATTGTGTGTGGGGTATATGAAATGTATGATTGGTAAGAGGTACAACTACCCTAGCTTAGAGGTTTGGAGACCATTATTTAGCCCCAAGTCTCAGGATTTAAATATCAAGGGTCCATCATACAAAAGGACAAAGAAAGATGGATATATGAACCACAAGATTCAAGTGGGATGAATGAAATGGAGTATTTTGAGTGTTAGTTGAGACAGAAAGGTACCAGTTTACCTTCAAGCTTCAGGAAAAATTTACCACGCTACTACATGACCCACAAAGTTGTATTGAACAGAATATTGGTGTTAAAAAGCCAACACATGCATACATTCAATTTATGAGAACGTTGCATTGAATCATATTAGACTAGATAAAATTAAGAATAATGCATCAGAGAAAAAGTTGGGGGTAGCAACTATGACAGAAAAGATGGTACAAACTTGCCTTGGGTAGTTTGCACATGTTGGAGAAGACTTGTTGAATCCCTATTAAGGAGAGTAGATCATATGGAGGGTAGCCCAATAGCTAGAGGCAGAGAGAGATCTGGAAAAACTTTAGATAAAATTATTAAGGATTTAGAGGTCAATAATTTATCTACAAAAATATTTTATGATAGACATTATAGCATCATATAATCTATGTAATTGGCCGTACCTAATAGGAAAAGCTGAAAGGATTGGTGGTGGCGGTGGTGGTTGTTTTGTGAAAGGGGTGAGGTTGAGAGAGAATCGTTGGCACCATTTAAAAGAAAAATTATATCAAGATGAACCTGGTCACAGATTAGTTTGAGTTGGATTCTTGACTTGTAACATCGGTTGAAATTATGATCTCTGCAACTTAGAACCCTGTTTTCTTTGATCACCAAGGTCCTTTTTGAATCACAAAAATAAGGTCTGCAGGATTTTGATGTGAATTCCAAATGTTTAGAACTATAATTGGTTCAAAATCATAACTTCTTTGGACCTTACAAAGATATAGAGTATGGAATTCTAAGTTAAATACTTAAATTTAAATTATATTGTTTGGCCGTATGATTTTAAATTGAAAAAATAAAATAAAATCTTTAAGTAACTATTTTGTATAATATAAAGAATATACTTTTAAAGCATTTGATATTTTAATACTCCACGTTGTTCTTTGTTCAATTGCTAATTTGGTGTCCAGGTGCAAAAAGGGCAATCATCCTTGCTACTTTGGTGCTATTTAGTTTATCACTTGCACTTGTAACATCAGGTGTTGTTCCACCATTTTCTGAAGACACTGTTAGAGCTGTGAATGTAAGTTTCCATTTGCACAGATGTTCCGCTGTCTGTTTTGTCACTGAATAAACAATCACTTATTGTACATAATATAATAATATTACACTCACTACTCAGAACTTCCCTGGTTTGTATATCGTTATGATTATGATTTATGATATGATGTCTATCTACTATTATTATTTTCAGTGGTGTATCTGACTGGGGATTTCTAAAGTGATTCTTGGTCTGTCCATTTACAATTTAGTATTGTTATTAACTTTATTGAATGAGAGAGAACCGGGAGGGCATACGAATAAATTCGTGTGTATGAATTACACAATGGGGCAAATATTTATATTAAGTGTTATAAATATATGGATAATAGGGCATAATTTCTTCTTAAATTATAGAGTAAATGACTATGTTTAAATAAGGAAATAAAAATAATAAAGCAATAGGGAGACAAAATAATAAAGAAACAGGGAAACAAATATCTAAAGATATTTAGAGATATTCTAGATTTTATAAGTATCTATGATATTTACAACAAAAGTAATTAAGTTAGTTGTTTTTAATTAATTCTACCATAAAATCCAATTTTATTCCAAAAATACCCTTTGTTTTAAATGATTGTTATATTTAATGCTAGTTATAAGTGAATGCACGGGAAATAGAATTAGCAATTAATTAAGGGTATAAAAGAATTTTACTCTTGAGTAACTTTAAAAACTAATATGATTGTTGCTTTTATTTAGGACCAAAGAAAAATTAAATTTGCTGCTTTTAATTAGAACCAAAGGTAGTATTAAGTAGGGTCATTGTATATTCTTGTCGTTATCCATGTATTTATAACACCGTATATTCTTGTAATTATCTTATCTGTTTTTAAGAAAAAAAATCCGAATTCATCCACTTTATAGAAAATGGTTCCTATCCATGAACAACTTATTCATGTGGAGAATTATGGAATTGACTTACTAAACTGCAAAACGTTAGGATGGGTAATAGCCAAGTAGTTTAATTTCCCAACTAGTCTTGTGTACCTTTGTGGATTTGAAAGTGACTCCCCTTGTCCTTGCAGAAGTTTGATATTAGAATCCATAAGACTATCAAGTAAAGCTCCCATCAATCTTGTTTCCTCTTAGATGTCCATCGCATACTTTCTTTGGAAAACAATGTTATCAAATAACCCTTATGGTGCCGCCATAAAGGTATAACGTGGTGTTTTTTAACCCCTCCACCATTTGCTATCCATTATTTCCCGTTATATAGCGGTATCCGCCATGGAAACTGCCATATCCGCCATGGTGCTCGCCATATCCGCCATGGCCATGGCTTCAGGGCGTTAATGGCGGAAGTCCTCCTCATCCTCTTTTTTTTTCCCTCATCTTTTCTGTTGTGAAGCTCCTAAATTGTGAACAAACAACTATGATAAGCCTTCTTAGGCCACCAGCCTCACCAGTGACCTAAACCATAGTGGCTTGAGCTCTAGAAAGTTTTTCGGCCAACAAATCCGGTGACCCATAAGAGTTCTTTTTGTTTTTTGTTTGTTTTTTCTTCTTCCTTCCATTTCTTTCTTTTTCTTTATTTTTTTTCATCTATTTTTCATTTCTTTAGATGTTCATCATCTCTTTCTCTCTTATTTTCTCTCTCTCTCTTATTTTGTGTGGTTGTTCTTGTTCTTCATCTGTTCAATGTTTTTGTTCTCGGTTTTTCAAAATTTTGGAATTTAGTTATCTGCATTTTAGAATTTCATTATCATGTTTTGTTATGTTGTTTTCTATATTAAACCTATAATGTTGTCCCAATTTTGTTTCACTTATAGCACAACGGTAAGCAGCAAGCACCCAACACTAAAGTCATTCATCCTAAAAGTCTGTTTTTTTATTTATGATTTTGTTTTTAATATATATATATATATATATATATATATATATATATATATATAT